TTGAATGAAATAAATATTAAAATGCATAAATGCAAACTGACCAAATATTGATTTTAAATTTTATTAATATTAACATTCACCAAAAATGTATTTTTTTTGTAAAACAATACAATTTATTGACATTACTGTAATGAGAATTTTAAAAAAAACTAAATGTAATCATTATTATTATTATTTAGGGGTGAAATATAACCTAGACATGATCTTCACAGGGTACTGTATGTGAGATCAAGCCATTCACACTTTCACTCTTCCAGCCATCTAATTTAACTCAGTTGTATCTGGAATGCAAGCATAACAGGTCACACGTGTCGTGTGGAGGTCAAGAGTCAAAATAATTTAGCTAAGATCTTCAAACACCCACACTGCTGTTCCACACTCAACCTCTCAAGAGCAATCACAAGAGCCGACAGCTGTGTGTGTACATGTGTGTGCTTCAGCAGGAGATACACAAGTCTGCGCTAAATGCTAAGTTCATCATCCGTGACACATTGTACACTACCAGCAGCATCCAGGCATGCAGATCCAAACAGGCCTGGAGAGATTATTCATGTGCCATGCCAAAGCTCTGCCTTTAATCAGGCTTCCTCTCAGGCTCATCTAACAGCAGCCAGTTCTGCCTTTTACATAACTGTTTCCAGCCGATGGTCAAACTGACAACCACGGTTACATGGAGAGTCAGGGTGGCTCAGGATATTTTGGGAGCAATCAAGAAGGTCAGAATTGAAATAAGAATGCCAATTCAATTACTGAAGCTGAATTAAGGAAAACTAAACTAAAATTTAAAAAAAACAAAACAAAAAAAAAACGTATAAGTTGCTTTGGATAAAAGTGTTTATTAAATATAGCAAAGTATATAAATAGCAGCTATGTTTCCTTAAACCATGCAGTTTTGAAAATCCCTGGCCAAATCAATGTCAGAGACCCTTTAACACATTTTTGTTTTTGCATTTAAATTATTTTTATTGTTAACTTGTTTTGTTTTTTGTTAACAACTAGCTCATTTTTATTGTTACCAAACTAGCTCAATGGCTTTTCTAATATTTTTTTTCTAACACGATTCCTTAAAATAAATGCCAAAAATGCCAATAAATGAAATAATTCAAAATGTGTCTGAAAATTAAAATAATAAAATAAAATAAAATAATAGAGTCATAGACTTTGCAATTTAGAAGCTGGGCCTTTATATGTCAAATGAGAAGTTGTTGTAGAACTACTATCTGCTGGTTGACTTCGTTAAGGACTCTATATATAACCATTTCAAGCCTCTTGGTATAGAGGGTTATATCTTTCCATTAAAATTAATCTGGCTATAAAAAATTTACAACCTTCAAGGTACAAACATGGGAGGGCTGACAGCACCATGTGCAGGACCCATGATGAAGCCAGTCATGTCAGAAACAGTGGGGCGTCATACACTTGCAGCAGGCAGCATATTGCATGGCCATAAAGGTACTAAATAAAGTGCCATTTAACATATGTGAATGTTGTAGACAGCTTTACTATGTTGCAAATTATGATCAGCGCTTTTACAGTGGGATTTATCCTCAAAGACTTACATTCAGTATTGTGCATCATTGAATCTACTGGCTAAATAAATGGTATGCAATTATTAAAGAGGAATTTCATATAAAAAAGGAACTAGGATTCATCAACTGCTGTTATGTATTGACAGGAAAACTAATGATAACTTTTAGAAGTACAAACAGCTCCTCTGAGTGCAACCTCTGGGAGTCTAGGATTCCAAAAACTACATTGGATTCCATATATAGCCTAAAAGTGTTTTAAAAATGTTGTATAATAATGAAAACAAAATACATGTGACAAAATCTGCCCAACCATGAAGGAATTCCTCATTGTACATGCATTCTCAAACAGGACATGTGCTCCAGCGATGCTGAGCTCCATATGAGGTTGGATGCACATTCTTTTGCATTTAAATGGACAGGTTGTCTAGTATTTCTTATTTTCATTGTTAACTTATCAACTGGCTTTTCTGAAATTTAGCTTGCACGACCATACAAAAGTTTGGGGTTGATTTGATCATAAATACAGTAATATTGTGAAATATTAGTACAATTTAAAATAACTGTTTTCCATTTTAATACATTTGAAAATGTAATTTATTCCTGCGATGCAAAGCTGAATTTTCAGCAGTCATTACTCCAGTCTTTAGTGTGTCATGATCCTTCAAAAATCAATCTAATACATTGATTTGCTGCTCGGGAAACATTGCTTATTATTATCAGTATTCGTCAAAGAATCCTGAAAAAATCTATACATTTATACATAAAATATTAGATTTTATTTTTCTAATATTCTAAATGTATTTACTTGTGATCAATTTAATGCATCCTTGCTAAATATTCAAGTAAGTATTTATTTATTTTTAAAAATCCTACCTGATCTGATCCTATCTTAACAAATAGGTCTAACTTATTTCTAATATTAGCCTCTCAGATAAATTCCATTTAATAAAATACAAAATGTGTATGCAAATCAAAATCAAAGGAAAACTTTTTAAAAACAACAAAATGTAAAGATGCACAAGTACTAAGATCACAGAACACTGTAATGATGCACAAATATTACAGTTCTGTTCTGTTCTGGCCGATTACCAATAAATGGCAGATATCAAAATTCTATACCATTTTGTCTAAATATATATTTTTTTAATTGATCATTTCAAATGCTACAAGTGAATTTGGCCATCACAATGGCATGCAAAATGGATATTCATTTTGAGTTTTGCTAAATATTACATTTAACAGTGTTAAATTATTAGTTTAAAGATTAAAGGTTAGATGACTGCAAATGAAATATAAAAATAAGGGAAATGAACATGCATAATAAAAAAATATTACGTAATGGATGATGCACCTCCAATATTGACCAATATGATACAGTTTTAATAAAACATCCTAATATTGGGTGCTCAAATCCCTAACCTAAAAAATATAAGCAACAATAATAGTGACCGTCACTAACAAGTCTCTTAAGGGCCGTTCTCGATGTCTGCCTCTCTGTTGCAGCTGTGCCTCGGAGGGCTGAGGTGACAGCAGGGGCTTTGCTGTCTTGTATGTGTGGCTCATT